AATACCTCATGCTATCTTCTGAACAGTGCATGAGTTCTCGTGAGATCTTGTAATTTAAAAGTGTGTGGCTTGTTCACAATAGCAAAGACATGGAGTTAACCTAAATGTCCATCAATGATGGACTGGAAAAAGAAAATGTGATATCTATGTGTGTGTGTATGTATATACACACACACACACCATGGAATACTATACGGCCATAAAAAGGAGTAAGATCATGTCCTTTGAAGGGACATGGATGGAGTTGGAAGCCATTATCCTCAGCAAACTAATGCAGGAACAGAAAACCAAATATTGCATGTTCTCACTTACAAGTGAGAGCTGAATGATGAGAACACATGGACACAGGGTGGGAAATAATACACAGTGGGGTCTACTGAAGAGTGGAGGGTGGGAGGAGGAAGAACATCAGGAAGAATAGCTAATGGATGCTGGGCTTAATAGCTGGATAATGGAATGATCTGTGCAGTAAACCACCATGGCACACGTTTACTTATGTAATAAACCTGCACACCCTGCACATGTATCCCTGAACGTAAAAGTCGAAGAAAAAAAAAAGTGAGTAGCACCTTTCCCTCCCTCTCTCTCCCTCGCTCCTGCTTTCGACATGTGACGTGCCTATTTCCCCTTTGCCTTCTGCCATGATTGAAAGCTCCCTGAGGCTTCACCAAAAACCTAGCAGATGATGGCACCATGCTTCCTGTAAAGCCTACCCATGAGCCAATTAAACCTTTTTTCTTTTTTTTTTTTTTTTTTTGAGACAGGGTCTCACTCCGTCTCCTAGGCTGGAGTACAGTGGTGCAATCTCAGCTCACTGCAATCTCTGTCCTCCTGGAGTTCAAGCAATTCTCCTGCCTTGGCCTCCCCAGCACCTGAGATTACAGGCACCTACCACCACGCCAGGCTAATTTTTTTTTTTTTTTTTTTTTTGAGACACAGTCTCACTCTGTTACCCAGGCTGGAGTGCAGTGGCATGGTCTCGGCTCACTGCAAGCTCCACCTCCCGGGTTCACGCCATTCTCCTGTCTCAGCATCCCGAGTAGCTAGGACTATAGGCGCCTGCCACCATGCCCAGCTAATTTTTTATATTTTTAGTAGAGACGGGGTTTCACCGTGTCAGCCATGGTGGTCTCGATTTCCTGACCTCGTGATCCGCCCGTCTCGGCCTCCCAAAGTGCTGGGATTACAGGCGTGACCCACTGTGCCTGGCCAAGCCTGGCTAATTTTTGTATTTTAAGTAGAGACAGGGTTTCACCATGTTGGCCAGGCTAGTCTTGAACTTCTGACCTTAAGTGATCTGCCCACCTTCACCTCCCAAATTGTTGGGATTGCAAGTGTGAGCCACTGCACCCAGCCTAAATCTCTCTTCTTTATAAATTACCCAGTCTCAGGTATTTCTTTATGTCAATGCATGAATGGCCTAATTACATGTGCCAATTACATGTATTTTAAACATCTTCTCCCTGTTGTAGTTATCATTTTCATTATAGTGTCTTTTGATAAATGAAGTTTCTTATTTTAATTTCATTGGCTTTTTCCAACTGTTTTTATGGTTCATGCTTTTTATATCTTGTTTAAAAACCCTTCCCTACTCTAAAGTCATAAGGGTGTTTCCCTATATTATATTTTAAGAGTTTTATAGTTGGACTCTCACATTTAATCTACCTGGAGTAGATTGTTGGGTCTGCAGTAGGGGTCTGTTTTTTTTTTTTCCAAACAGATAACTGTCCCAATACCATTTACTGATAAAAATTCCTCTTCCCCACTGACACACAATGCTAGCCCTGGCCCAATCAAATTTCCACACACATAAGTCCAAATCTAAGGTTGCTTTCAGTTCCAAAATTTTATTCAACTGAAGGCACTAAAACTTCTTGTCAAGACAGAACATCAATCAGTTGTAACTTAAAGAAATATTTTTGAAGAAGAGACACCCAATACCAAGAGAATCCTGACTTCAGAAATATAACAACAAGAAAATACTACACAGAGTTCAAAGAACCTGGGCTCTCATTCCCATTCTAGAATTTGCTGAGTATTTAAGATCAGACATTCTCCAGAAGGCTGTGACATTCTAAGTTGTCAAAAAAAAGGTACTCAAAAAAGGATAAAAAGATCTACCTTCTCCCATGTCTAAACATCACACTTATGGGAAAGTTTAGAAAATTACACTAAATAATATTTAAATGATCATAAACAGAGGTAAAACGTAAATAAATCATTCCAAATTTTAGTTTTATATCTAGTCTCATGAGGAATTTTTGCTCTAGCTTCTAGCATTATTTCTACTACAGTTTTGTACTCAAAAGACACCTGTTAATGTAATACATAGTGGTTTTATGATCTGAGTACCATCTAATTAAAGACTCAGTAAAAGTGAAGAGTATTTTCAAAAAGGAGCCTTTTTATAACTGAACACTGCTAAAATCCCACATGGAAATTTGGCTCACTACATACTGGATAAAATTTAACTCAAGATAAGACTTTCGACTAATAAAATCACCTTTAATGTGGGCATACTTATTTTACATTATTAGTATTCTTTTGAATAGCCACAGAAGTACAAAATATAACTGAATAATTTTCAACCAAGTGTAGACACAACTCCAATTAAGCACCTTTATTAAAGCCAATTTATAAAACATTTTAAAATATAAATGTCCTTGATTAACACTGAGAAAAAATGTAAATGTTTAAAATATTCATGCATTAGTAAATATGACAGTTTTCTAATGACCTATTTTTGATATAAAAAACTTTAATGCCATGTCAATTTTGTTATAAGAAGGGTTTCTTCTTATCACTGAGTAAATAAAGAGTGTAAAGAGAAAACCTGATTTTTGTCGACAATTCCACTGGTTAATTTGCTCACAAAATAAATGGACACAGTGGCACAGCAGACACTGGAGACTCAGAAGGGTGGTAGTGTGAGAGGTGGGACAGGGTTGAGAAATTACCTAATGGGTACAATGTACACTATTCAGGTAATGGTTACACTAAAAGCCCAGACTTCACCATTTCACAATATAACCATGTAACAAAACTGCATTGTACTCCCTAAATCTATATAAATAAAAAATAATCATTTCTATATATGTTAAGTTCCTAAAATGAATCACTCACTATTTACAAATATTGTGCTACTATAAATTTTTCAGATATCACTGGAGCAAAAGCAGAGGTAAAAAAAAAAGCTATAACAGGAGTTAACAGGTATTAACCAAGAGCTTGCCTTCATAACAGAGTGAAAAGTACTACTAGTTTATTGATTTGTTTTTCTATAACATCTGCATAGTTATCAGCAGGATTTGAATATTAACAACACAAACCAGAAAAGTCTATTCATCTACTGCAGGAGCTGATACTTTCTGGTTTGGTATAAAAAATAACTAGAAATCCACTTATTAAGGACTATTTAAATGATCTACTTACAAAAAATTAAGTACTCACTATAAAGTTCCTCTTTTTGTTAACATGAATTATAGAGCAGTAAATCTAAATCATGTAGAAAATCAGTGGTAAGTAATGGTTCCTTCACTTGAGGCGGCAAGGGTAATATTAAGCCAGAATGGCTATTTTGAAAAAAGTAAATCTAATAAACATGTTCTATTAGAAAAGGTAGGATAAGAATTTCAAGATCTCTCTATTCTTTCCTTTAATATGCTTTAGTAACAACAACAACAAAAAAACTTATTTTAAGCCATGGTAGTCCATTGGCAGGGTATTAGAAATTGGGCACTAGAGAATAACATACTTTTGTAAAAATCTATCATGTTTCCACTCCTATATGTGCCATAGATAGTTCTCACCACAGCGTTTACTCATGCATTCAGCAAATATTAGTTAAATACCTACTATGTTTTAGGCACTATGATAAACACTAGGGATACAGAGATTAGTCAGAGTTCCTATATTCAAGGACCTTATGATCCAGTATGTCATCTCAGAAGAATAAGTTATCTGGAGAGGATACAGAGATGAATAACTAATGGTAAATACAGTGGCTCCTACAGGAGTATTGACTCCAGATACTAACACTTTTTCAAGACACTAAGATAATGCAGAATGATGATGAGACATAAACCCTTTTAAAGATTATTTATTCAAGGTTGAGATAAGGTGAATACATTGAATAATTTTTTATTCAAAAAATTTCCAAGTACTAAAATTTAAAAGATGCTTTCCAAATTTGGAAACAGTTAAACATAGGATAAAAAAGCAAGTACTATCTGTGTAAAAGAAGGAACTAACGCTATAACAGGCGGTTGTATATAAAATATGAAAATACAAATTGGTTTAAAAAGGTTATAAATTAATGCATTTAATTCCACGAAATTTTACCACCATATGATCTAGTCTAAAATAAATGGACCCTCATGCACATATTTCATTCTCTTACACAATAGACTCTGCAAAAGAAAAGGAATAATCACATTGTATATTCTTAGAAACTGGCTGTCCCCGCATATCATCAGTGATTTTGCAGCAGGAAACTATAAAGCAAACAATTAAAATTCTAGCCCTCAACAAAAACTTTCAAATTAAAATCATTTTTCAAACCTCAAAGTTGAACAAGGTCTAAATTTTAGAACTATTCAACTCTACACACAGTGATACAGAATGTGTTAAAATATCCCTATAACATTTAAGTTACTTTGGTCACTACCCCAGCTCAAAAAAACAACCATTACATAGTTATGGGCTTTCTTATTGGATATTATTTGGCATATTCAATTTTAAACCAAATCGTAATGTACACATGAACTGGCAGTCACCTTTCATTCAAATTCTAATTATGTAAATGTGGCATTGTCCTATGAGAAAATATACAGTTTTACTCATAGTTTAGATCTTTATCTCCTAATTATTTTCTGGCAATGAGAAGGATATGTTCTGACATTAATTCCCTATTCCCATAACCTTAGAAAATAGGCACCTCTGCTTGGGAACTGAAAGGGTAAGAGATAAAAGTTAAAATGAATCATTAATAACATATTTACCGGTTTGATTCGCAGCTGACCACCTGCCACCTCAAGAATGGCATGTCTTCTGGATACTCTCTTGTCTGTTATCTATACAGTAAAAAAATTAAAAGATTAAGAACAGCCACCTTCTTAAAAAGCAACAAAACAAAAAGGCAAACAAAACCCCTGGCAATGTTTCTGAAATCAGTAGACTAGCTATGAAATACATCATTCATTCAACATCTATATGTTGAAATGATTGTCCTCATTTAACAAATAATGAAACTCAGAGATTAAAAAACCTGCCCAAAGTCATGGAAGAGTCAACAACAGAGCCTCAAGCCTAGAATCCAATGGATCCCAAAACCTTGTATGATAGTTTCCATTCATGACAGACATCTACTGGAGATTATTACCAAGAAAATTCAAAAATAGGAAAAGTACCTATATAATATGTACTTACCAGAAAACATTTCAAATACAAGAAACATATAGTATGTAACAATGATAAAGGTTTTCAAAGGGAGAGATCCCATGCTCAAGGATCTGGTAAGTGTAAAAGGGTCTGACTGTAGGCTTTGGGGTCAAAAAGACCCAGATCAGGCAGAACTGCATGCAAACTCGGGGGGCACCAGCAGCACTTACGAGTTCAGGAAGGCAAGAAGCGGAATGGTGAAAACCAAACATTGGCAGTAAGAAAGAAATTAGCATTTTTAAAAAATATCTATTTGCTTCCTGTTTTGAGCCAACAGTGTTCTGCTTATGCTCACAATAATTCCTGCATACCAAAGTTCAGAAATTGTTTGCATTTTAAATGCTGACAGTGCCAATCAAAGCTTTCCCTTTTCACTGTAAACGCAATAGTTAAGATTGCCTTTTTTATTTGTGGTTGATTGATAGATAATGAAAACATGTTAAGCACCAATTTCACTAACGCCGTAACTACCGACCCCATCTCTTGGTAACCTTGGTATGTAGCACTTGAATGCTGGCATTATCCGAATGAGGACCAAAATTATCAGTAAAAAATAGACCATGCCAATACATAAACTCAATTAAACCTATTAGTTCCACACAAAATGTGAAACTGCCAGGAGTCAGTACTCATTTTTTTAACCAGAGAGCAGTTCCACACTTAAGGCTGTGACATACAGACAGTAATATCAAACATCACAATGAGTATCACATGAATGAATTTTTTATAATCTATTGTTAGCCACAATGGCCATCCAAGAAGTACAAACTAATATCTATTCTTTCAGAAAAAAAGAGGCTAAAAATTTGAAGATTCCTTTTTTCTTCCCAGAACGTACCTTAGCCGGCTAAAAACAACAGCAGTTATCTGATGACTTATTGCATCATTTTGCACAGAACTTTCGCTTAAATGTTGTGATTCAACATAACATTGCCATAGCTATTATTCACACTTTACATAGAAATTCAAAGTCCAGAGAATTTAGGTAACTTGGGTAGGTCACTCTCCAAGTAGGCAGTACTCCAAAGCCACACTCTTTTTAATAAAAATAGGTAACAGGGAGGGTGCGGTGGCTGCAATCCCAGCACTTTGGTAGGCTGAAGTGGAAGGACCGCTTGAGCTCAGGAATTTAAGACTAGCCTGGGCAACACAGTGAGATCCCCATCTCCACATAAAGTAAAAAATTAGTTGGACAGGGTGGCATGTACCTACAGTCCCAAATATTAATACTTGGGAGGCTGAGGTAGGAAGACTGCTTGAACCCAGGAGGTCAAGGTTGTAAAGCCATGATCGGTACCACTGCACTCCAGCCTAGGTGAAAGGATGAGACCCTGTCTCAAAAAAAAAAAAAACAAAAAAAGGTAATAAATGTGAGAACACATTTATACATGACTATACCTACATGCAATCATTCAAAAGTAATTTCAAAATATGCACATTATTCTGTGACTGAGAGTAAGCAATTCCTATTTCTGACTTGGATACCAAAATCTCATTACTTCAATACAAACCAATTTTCTAACCAACAGAGTAATAAGCTATCAAATATAAAACTATGGCATATAAAGATGGTTCCTTTAACAGTCCACCATCTTTCTTTCCTCTTTCTTCTTTCCTCTTTTAAACTGTATTTTTTCAGGAAGCAATAAATGAACTTTTCCTATCTCTGTCTTTCTTTGAAGTAGGCTTCACTGACACTACGAAGATAAAAGACATTTTAAGTAATATAAAAGTATAATGTGACCTCTAGTGGACATATAACTCCACAACAGTGTAATTTCATTACAAGCTATGTGTCTTTTATAGAATACAAAAAGAATGCTATAAACGGTCTTTGAAATTAACATCACTCAGACATTTATAGTGTTCCTTTTAAAGTAAACCCCTAAACAGTGAACACGTGATAAAATAACCATTTGCATTTTCTCAATGGGAAGCGTAAAGGTTTAATAAATTATCATTAAAACATTTTAATTTCAGGATTGATATACAGAGAGGGGTGGGGAGCAAGTGACAAACAGATTATCCTAAAGATCTGATTATCTGCTTTAACAGCCTATCACTGCTCCTTATACAGAGTGAATATCCAACACATTTCTATTATTAATTAATTAATATATCAACTGTAATAACAATCAATTATCAACAGCAAAGCACCATTCTAGACTTGTCATGTATCATCTTTTTCAGTCTTCACAAAACCTGTGAAGAAGATACTATTATTATACTTCACTTCATAGGTGAGAAAATGGAAGTACAGAGAGTTTAAGTAACTACTCAGTTACACAACCAATAAGTAGTGGGGCCAGGATCTGAACCTAAGGAATCAGATTCCAGAACCATTCATGCTCTAAATGTTGTATCTCATCCCTCAATATCATTACATGAAACCTAAAGCAAAACCTCAGTTTTTAAAATGATTTACCCAGTTTAACTGTCAAACTAGAACATAGTAAAGAACTGAAAATAAGGCAGAAATGGCTATTTAATAATCAAATAGACATTCAGAAGAGATTCAGATCCTAAATAAAGCTCCAAGAGGCCCTCAGACTTTCATTTGGTCCTGCTTATCTAATGGCATACCTAAGTCTAACAAGATATGTCATCCAAATTCTTAATTCTCTATTCGTAAAGTGGATAGGATTTAGTAGACAGCATACTGACAATAAGAGAAAATGACTGATGTTAGTCTACAAGTGGAAAGAGAAAGGCTACTAAAAAGCAAAGAAACCCAAGGACTCAAAAAGAATACACTGGTTAGAGGCCATTTAGGGTAGGACAAATGGCATAAATTACTTCAAAATATACTGAAGGCTTGCCCAAGTTTACTTACTTATTACTAGAGTCACCAAGTTTAAATTAAAACTTCAACTGAAAGTCAGACATTTCACATCTTAGAAAGCCATAAAAATAGTTAAATTGAGGAATTCCAATTTTTATAGAATAGTTATAGTCACCTAAATTCTAATCACAACACACATTCTTCAAAGAAATCAACAAATAGAGCAAACAAAACTACCCATATCTCATCCCATATCTAATGCAAAACTAGGAGATGGAGATTACTAAAAACTTTAACTTACATGTAAGAGAGATGAGAAATGCCAGTTTCAGAAGATCAAGCCCCAGAACTTATGCTGGAGCAGAGAAAATCAGGTGGCAAATGACAGAAAAAGAGGAGAGAGGGAGTGGGAATCTAGGGGTGCTGAAGCACAAGTATCACTCCCAGAAAAATTAAGGCACACTTTTAGTGGCAAATACTAAAAACATATTTCAGATCCAACATTACAGAGGCTAAGCTAATAGAGAATCCAAAAGAGAGGCATAAAAATATGTGGAACCAGGTATAGCAAGCGCAGTAAAGGCACCACTTCTCAGAAAGAAGGAGGATACTTGGAAGAAAAAAATAAATCCAGTAGCATAGATTTTGGCTTCAAAATACCATTCCCCACTAAAAGAAACCAGAGCTCTTTTGAGAAATGTCATATTCCAGGTCTGAGGCACAAAAAGTATAACGTGGACCTAGGATATCTTCTTGTGCCAGAGGACAAAGAAATGCTCAAAAATTGATGGGTGCATGTCAGAAGGACAGAGAAACCAGTGCGAAAAAACTCTCACTGACCAAATTTAGAATGATTTGAGCACCAAAATAGTGATAATACTGGAATACAGGAAATTGAATCGCAAAATAATCCATGATTCCGTACCAACCCACATAAAGTAAAAAATTAGTTGGACAGGGTGGCATGTGCCTATAGTCCCAAATATTAATACTTAGGAGGCTGAGGTAGGAAGACTGCTTGAGCCCAGGAGGTCAAGGTTGCCGTGAGCCATGATCACACCACTGCACTCCAGCCTGGGGGACAGGGTGAGACCCTGTCTCAAAAAAAGAAAAAAAAAGATAATAAAAAAGATTCCATATGAATCATGGATTATTTTTTGATTCAATGTGCTGTATTCGAGTATTATCAGAGGATAAGGCTGGGAGAGATGCTTTTCTTTATAAAAGAATGCCAGCTAAAGTAGAAAAAATGGTAGAACCAAAAAAATCACTATTTTTTAACTATCAATGTAAAAATTAAGTTAGGAAAGGATAAAAGGATGTTTATTTCCTAACAATAAAAAGGTTTGTTGGGAAAAAATACTCATGAAGTCTCAGTATCACTCCACAGATTACTGACAAAGGAAATGGCAGATGAACTGTGAAATCCGGCAGATACCACCTTATCAAGGTGATTACACTTACCACATCACCACAACAGGACAAACTGATAGATGTGCTTCCTAATGCCGTACTCTGAATAAACATCACCTACTTAATATTTTCACCAAAAATGTTTAATGTGAATCAAATTCTGTGCAAACAATCAAACAAAAATTGTGGGACACTCTAGGAATAATTGGCCTGGACCCACAGAAGCACCAATGTCATTAAAGACAAAAGGCAAGAAAATCATTCTAGATTAAATGAAAAAAAATTTAACTGGATCATGATTTTTTTAAAAAAATGCAAAAAGCACATTACTGAAAACGTACAAAACTGAGTATGGAACATTAAAATTTATGGCACAGTTACACATTTCTAGAATATAATAACAGAATATAGCTATATAGAAATGTCCTCGTTCTTAGG